TTAAGTGGTTTCTTATTTTTTTTCCAGAGCTATATGTAATTGATTTGTCAAATTTTCCCTATTTCTACCAAATTTCAGAAATAAATTATTTGTTTTTTAGTAGTGGGATTTGATTAAAAATTTTAATTAATCACATTTTTATTGAAAACTATATATATACAAAATAAGCAACGTTTTTTTTACTTAAAGAAACCCTTTTTTGTGCTAAATTATTGAACTCAACAACAGAGATATTTATTGTTTCAATCTTTTTATTTAGGTCAATCATTCATTATTTAGCTTTCAAAGTGTTTCATGAATCCAGGATCATTCATGTAACTTATTAAAAAAACACTTCTTTAGAAACGCTGACATCAGCATTCCTGCTGCTACATGTTTTGCATTAAAACAGTATTTGGGCTTGAATAGCTTCAACTCTTATTAGCACAACTTGTAAACAACAGTCATATATTTCAGATAATTTTTTGAAGCAAAAACACATTTTAAAAAAATTTGTTCTTAATTTTTTTTATTTGGCTTTTTGTTATATATATTCTATGCTGTTTGCAGGTTCATATTGACTGGTTTTATACCCAGAACTGTCCTTTACTGGGATAAAGGAGGTTAAAAAGATTTTGGAAAATGATGAACTGGAAGTTCTTTCTGTCAAAATGCTTTGTTGTTTGTGAAACTGCTTCCAATAAATAAAGAACAATTTAAAAAAATTTACTCTTCAGTGTGGCAAGAAAAGCCACTTTGTTGTTCATCGCTGTTGTTTGTGTTTGCGGTTGTCCGTCAGAAACATGAATACAAAAACAGAACACGATTTCAACTAAATGAAACGCGTTAAAATCTTTTCAATAAATGAATCAAAATGAACCCATCCTTCTCTTTCAGGTGGCCATCAATGAGGCGTATGCTGCTGGGCTGATTGGAAAGAACGCCTGCGGCTCTGGTTACGACTTTGACGTGTTTGTGATGCGTGGCGCCGGCGCGTACATCTGCGGAGAGGAAACCGCCCTCATCGAGTCCCTGGAGGGGAAGCAGGGCAAGCCGCGTCTCAAGCCTCCGTTCCCTGCAGATGTTGGTGAGTTCAGGCAGCAAACAACATCCGTACGTCCCAGTGGGTTCCTCCTGGCAACTCGCGCGTTTCCTCCTCTTGATGAAGGTGTGTTTGGTTGCCCGACGACTGTCGCCAACGTGGAGACGGTGTCCGTGGCGCCCACCATCTGTCGCCGTGGAGGGTCGTGGTTCGTGAGCTTCGGCAGGGAGAGAAACTCTGGCACAAAACTGTTCAACATCTCGGGTCACGTGAACCACCCCTGCACTGTGGAGGAGGAGATGTCCATCCCTCTGAAGGAGCTCATCGAGAGACACGCAGGTACGCATCAACGTGGCGGCTTTCGTTTTTTAAATCTGGGTGAAAACATCCAAATGGGTTTCCTGCATGGTTTTTAAACATCTGGGAAAGTCTGACATTTGATTTCAGCACTTTAAAGGTCTGAGTTTGGAAAAAATAAAGATTTTATTCCTTTAATTACACCGTCTAAATGTTAGCCTTCATTCAGTCCTGTCTCTCTCGTGTCATTCCCTTCATTTTTGTACGGCTGCAACTAACGATTATTTTAGCGATTGATTACTCTTGATTATTCTGACGATAAATCTGATGTAAAAAATTGGGACATTTGCTCCTTTTTGTGTCCACCTTTTAATGTGTTCCGCATCCTTTCATTGCTTTTGTCTTTCCGTCCTTTTTTCTATTCACTTGCCCTGTTTTTGCTTTCCTCTTTCATCCCTTCCTAACTTCTTTTATTTTCTGTGCCTTTTCCTCCTTCCTTCTTGCCTTGCATCATTCCCTTCATTCCTTTCTTCCTTGTTCCTTGCCTTCTTTCTGTTTCCCCTGTTGTTTCTTCCTTCATTCAGTCCGTTTATTTGCAGCCTCCATATTTAAAAAGGTGGTGAACGTCAACATTTTCTATTTTTTATTGAACATAATTGAAAACCAGAGGTAGGCAGAGTAAAAAAAACCTTTTACTCAAGTAAAAGTAGAGCTATGAAAACATATTTTTACTCAAGTGAAAATAAAAAACAGAGATTACTCAAATAAGAGTGAAAAAGTACTGAGTAACCGATCAAAACATTAATCATTTAACATTTAAAAATTACTTCAATTGGACCAAAATCTAAAGTTGCGTGAAAATTTTGGTATTTTAAGGACCAAAATAAAAGTAATTCATGTAAACAAAATAATTTTAAAACAACAATTTTCCAAAAATGTCAGTGTAAAACTTTAAAAACTGCAGGTGTGTGTCTTTGTCTGGTAAATTTGTGGTTAAAACAAACCAACATTTTACCATAAGAATAGCGATACTTCATAATAAAATAAATCAAGTAAAAGTAAAAAGTACAGTGTTGTAAAAATACTCCTAAAAGTACATATTTTCTAAAAAAAAGTTACTCAAGTAAACTGAGTGAGTGAAACTATAGTTATTACCCAAATCTGCTCGAGAAAAGTGTTTTTTTGTTGTTGTTTTTTTTGTCTGAAAAACAGGGAGGAGTCTTTCCTTAATGTGAGTTTTTAAATCTATTTCTTTGGAAGTGTAATTAAGTAGAAAGGTCACAAAGAGATGACCTAAATCCATCTGCCATGTTCTCCTTCAACAGAACGGTCATAAAGTCAAAGATTAGGACGGCTTAACATAAGCGACTACATTTTTTTTTATTCCCAACTTAATTGAAAGCAACATCTGTGCGGTAGGTGGCGTTCGTGGAGGCTGGGATAACCTGCTGGCTGTAATCCCTGGAGGATCCTCAACTCCCCTTATCCCCAAGAAGGTCTGTGAAGAGGTGCTGATGGATTTCGACGGCCTCATTCAAGCCCAGACCGGCCTCGGCACGGCCGCTCTAATCGTCATGGACAAATCTGTGAGTCCGTCACCTCTGCAGAGTGACCAGACGCCGGTAGCATTGGTCATTGGTTGATTGGTGTCACTTTTCCAGACTGACGTCATCAGAGCCATCGCCCGACTGATCGAGTTCTACAAACATGAGAGTTGTGGCCAGTGCACACCATGCAGGGAGGGTAAATGCTTCTCATTAAGTTATTTTTTTTTAAGGATTTATTTTCATAAACAATAAAATAATATGTTTTGTTTTGGATGCTCTGGTTGATTTCTGCAGGAGTGGACTGGATGAATAAGATGATGTGGCGTTTTGTTCGTGGCGATGCGCGGCCGGCGGAGATCGATATGATCTGGGAGCTCAGCAAGCAGATCGAGGGACACACCATCTGCGCGCTGGGTGACGGTGCAGCATGGCCCGTTCAGGTAAAGACATGTCGGAGAAGAGGAATCATTCCAACAGTCAGAGATAAAACCCGATTGCAGGAGGTTCTGTTGAGTCTCTGCGTTTTGGGAGAAATGTCTTAAAGTGTCCAGAACTTGTTTTAGTGGATTTCAGATGCGGGAAAAGAAATTCAGTTTGGAAAAATATTTTTATTCCCAGACTGAAGGTCTTCCAGCATTGCGTCTTTGCTCCTTCTTTGACTTGATGTTGCATGTTGAAGTGATATTGCACATAAATAATCTCTTTTTTTGTGTTTTTAGGGATTAATCCGGCACTTCAGGCCCGTGATGGAAAGCCGAATCGCTGAATACCAGCAGCAGAAAAAGGCTGTGGCTTAAATCTCGTTCTCAACATATTGATTTCTTCATTCTGCCTCCAAACGCCCTTAACTTCATGTCTGTGAGAAATATTTAAACTAAGGATAACGTACTGTCTTTTTGCCTCATCGGGAAGCTTCGAGTGACACTTTTGTTGTGTTTGAAAATCCCAATAAAGATTTATTACCTGAAACTATTGGGTGATTTTAAGAGTTGAATTGTTTTTTTTTTCCTACTTTGGAGTTTTGGTATGTGGAAAAGAAAACTGATACTGAGATGCTAATATTCTTTATTTCAATCTTATGGAGTAGATTTATCCACATGAAAATACTTTAAATATTATTTTTGTTAATAATTCACAAAAATTGAAGAGTAGTAGGAGTTTTCAAGTAAACACTGTCTGATTTATGAAATAAATAGTAACTAAATTTGTAGGATATGTATTCTGGGTTAATACAAAATCTGTGAAAGAGTGAATTTAAAAGAAAGAAAAGAAATTTGAAAAATATAAGCAGAACATTTTGGATCTTTAAAGATGGTTTGTGGGGGATTACGTTGATGTTGACAGGAATCATGAAAGTTGAAGTACTGCTAAAATAGTATCTGTATTTAAGGTGTAAAGACATAAATCTGATTATAACCACTATATTGAGTTATTTTCTGTTTGAGCAAAGATATTAGGTCTTTACCTTTGACACTGTTTTTCATCACAAAATTGATTTCCAGTGTTTCATTCAGACGTTATCAGAAGAGCCAGTTCAACAACATAGTACCCGATGAAAGACATGGCTCTCATTTTTTAGATGGATTAGGAACCGCGAGTATACCTATCAGTGTGAGAGAAACAGTTTTTTAGGAACTATGATGTCTTTAGGATAAGATGGTGCTGGAAGGGTAATTTTTCTACATTTAGTTGCAAAACAATCACAAATTTCAATGCATTTAAGAGGATTGTGTGTGACAGATCACCATAGAGCATAAATAGAAAGCTGAGAAATGTGGCATGAAGTTTTATTCATCCTCTTCTTACTTCTCAATAAAATCTGTGGAAAACAATTGCTTCCAAAAATGTAACTAGTAAATTGATTCCATCTGTGTAGTTTAATCTGAGTATGAATACGGCTGTTCCAATTCTCAATAGTCAACTAGCATCAAGAAACACTTCAGGCAGATCCAGGTAACTGTTGTGGAAAATTACAAAAAAACCTGAGCAACCTTTTTGGGAAAAAAAATTAAGTACTAATTTACTCTTTTTTTTTTTGAGTAATTTTATTGTGAAGTATTTCTACTCTTACTTGAGTTAAATAATATTCTACTCATTATGAGCGACTTCTCTGAATGAAGAACAAGTTTGTTTTAACCAAAATAATTACCAGACACAGACACTAGCCTGCAGCTTTTTGTTTAAATTTGATCAGTTATACGTTGAAAAGAAAATGGATTTTTGCCTGATTTTATTTTGTAATTTTGTTATTTATATGAATTGCTTTCATTTTGAGCTTTAAAATATCAATATTCCCCATATTTTTATACTTTAGTCTGATATATATATATTTTTAAATATGATGTGATTGATGTTTTGATCATCAATCATTTCTGCTACCTTCTATTACTTATTAAAAATGTTACTAAGTATTTTAGTAGGCTTTTTACTAAATAATTATTTCACTCTTAATTTCTTGAATGGCTACTTTTTATTTTTTACTTGAGTAAAAATAAGCTGAAGTAATGCTACTCTTGAGTACAATTTTTGGACACTAAATATCAGTGCCGTATAATGTCTATGGCTCTGCTCTAGCTTTGTAGTGGTGAACTCTAATCTCGCGAGACTTTCTATTCCCATGTCACGTGACGGGGGCTAAACAACGGCTTCGTTTCCGTGGACGCTGCAGATGGTGCAAAAGCAAGTTTGGATTTGTTTTAAGTGAATGATTGATCATTTAACCATCGCATAAATTATACAACGGGCATAGAAAATGTTTTTTAATTCAATTATTTTTTAAGTTCAAACCAAATGGCGTAGCTTGTGCTGCGTGCTGCCCTGCGTGGTCCTCCATCGTGGTGCAACGGTTATCATAATTTTACAACGTTTTCTATTTATCGCAATCTTGGATGCTAAAGAATTTACGCCCGAGTAGAGATATAACGCAGTTATAACGTGTTTAGTTGTCCTTTTAATAATGGATAACTAAAATTTTGTGCTTATCTTACAGTTTGATGTGGATCTGAGCTCGGTGAAAGCATCAAGATGGAAATGAAAATAGAGCAAGTGGTTGTTGGAAATGAAATGAAGTCCTCTTCTGCAGAGACCAAATCTGACCCTGTGGGCGACCCTGAGTACTGTAAGCTGATATTTACTGTACTATCACTACAAAGAACATGTAAACACATAAGTCTCCTTTGTCTTATTTGTAAGCTTTTAGAGTATAACCTAATATTGGAACATTTTAGGCTGAATTAGTAACCTTCATTGGTCTTCTTCTTTTTCAAAATATACAGGTTTCTCTGTTCATGAGTGACACCTGTTTATTAAGGTGGACTTCCCCATTGCTTGCCCCATTGATGTTTTTATTTTGTGTTATTCCCTCAAAGATGTATTCTTAAATTCGGAAGAGGTGGTTGAAATGTATTCTTTGATGTGTTGTAGAAATCAAAGTTCAGACCTAGATGAAATGAAATGAAGTAAAATGTCAAAGAAAAAATAAAACAATTAAGAAGAATATCATACTGTCTCATTCACTTAGAGACATACATATCTAAACCGACTTTAATCCAAAGTTAAAATTGATTTCTACAAAATAATGATAATTAAAGAAAAATATTTAATGTAAAGTAAGTGATTGCATAAATATTCACCTGTTACAATCAGTGTTTAGATTAAGTTAGTGATCTCCCACATGCATTTTAGCAAACTGTAGTCGAGTTAATCATTCTTTATTTGTAAAACCAATGAAAAAAGGTAAAAGAAAAAATGTAAATGTGGGTGAATACTTTTAATAAACACGTTACTAAACATGAACTACTTTCTAAGTCTGTCGTCTGCACTACAGATCACCATGAGAGTCTGCAGTGTTTCCATTGCCTGATCACTTTCAGAGACCTCAAATCCAAGGAGAGACACATCAAGAGGAACCATCGGGACGAGTACAAGCGTCAACTACAGCAGGTATAAAAACCATGAAAAATGTCTCAAAAATATTTCAGTAAACTCTCCAATCCATATAAAAAAATTATAATTTATCAAAATTTCTACCCCAATAAAGTATTACCCTTAAAATTAACATTAGTATCAAATAATCTTCAGTGAAATTCAGGTGCAGAAATTTTTAAGAAATTGTTGGGAAGCTAATTTAAAAAATAAATAAATAACACATTTACTACCATAGTTTTATTATTTTTTAGATGTATTATTTGTGGGATAGTACTGTTATAACAAAGTTCTAAGTTGTTTATAAACAGACCTGAGTAGGGATTATGATTTTTTTTGTCCAAAATTTGAGCAGCCTTTTACCTGCATATGCATGTAGGTAAACAAATATGTTAAGTTAATTTATTTCAGTAATTGGACTCAGAAGGTGAAAATCTTAAACAGGTCTTTTGCACATGAAGTGATTTATTTGAAGCACTTGTTTCTGTAAATTTTGATAAATGGAATTATAACTAATAAAACCCCAAAATAAGTCACAAAAATAAGAGACCAATTAAATGTTTGTACAGAAATGTGATGTTATGGTTTAGATATTTGGAGTAAGGACTAGTGACCTGTCCAGTAGACCATTCACTGTTGCCAAATTTGCAACTTTGTCACTAAATTTAGTGACTTTTCAGCAATCGCCAGTGACTTTCTTCTGAGGTTTGGGAGACTTTCTCATTTAGATTGCAGTGTGTGAGTAAGTCCAGTCTATTGTTGGGGGTGTGAGTGCCGAAGAAAAATAAATATGTAATGTACTCTGATTACTTTTCCCTGTAGTGTTAGCACTCCATGAAAGAGCACAGAGTTATACAGCCTTATACTGGTGAAAATAATTTAAACTTTAGGTTGTCAAAACTAAAACCAATTCCAGCTCTTTTCTTTGGACTGCCAACAAAAGAACAGATAAAAAAAGTAACTTTGTAATTGAATCACGCAATGGTAAAGCTGCCGTTGACCCTGCTCTGCAAAAGCTGTAAACATTATTCAAAATTTATCATGTTGCTTTTGCACTATCATGTTTTTTTTGTTGCACTAAAATAAATCATTGCAATTGATTCACAGCCTCAGTCACTGATTCACCTCCTCCAATATCTGTGCCTCAGATAACTGTCTTTTAGGTATATTTGATATTATGCAAGACTGATTTATGTAGTGTAATTCAGGAAAATAATTTATATTACACAAACAAATTTAGAGTAATTTTAATCACTTTTTGTCTTGCCAACTTTTGATATTCTCTTCTTCTACTCCCCATAAAATATGCAAATTAGGCAGTGATGTCATCTAACAACTTTTAGGACAGCCCATAGGTTTTTTTCTTGGCAACAGTGAGACCATTGTTGACATCCTCCACAAAGAGGCCCAGGAAGCTGGCTGTTCAGTGCTGCATCCAAACATAATGTTAAAAAATTAAGTAGAAGGAAAAACTATGGTTGGAAAAGTAACCATACAAGTAACCTACAAGGCTCAATACAGCCATGTTTTTCCGTGTTTAGTTTGAACAAGCTGCAAATTTGTTAGTCTGTTGAAGCAAACTATTGAACGTTAGTTCAGAAAGTTCAGATGTCTGATTATTTGCTTAATATTAATTTGCTGCCTATTTTAAGCATCAGTCTGTTTCCATTCATCCATGCATGCATACTCTAGTTTCATGTTCTATAATTAAAGCCTGAACACAGCACACCTTTATGCCACAAATAAATAGTGAAACTTGAGAAAGAACAGACTGAGTATTAAGAAAATTTGAGTCTGAAACAGGAAGGATTTGCATTTTTTTCAAATTATTTTCTTTTTGCAGAATAATACTCTGTTCATGTGCTACAAGTGCAACAGCTCTTTCTCCACGACTGCGGAGCTCAGCCAGCACCAACCTACACATTTTACCGAAGAAAAGCCATTTTCCTGCTCGCTCTGTCAGGAAAGATTCAGCACGTTTACCGAGGTTGGAAAGCTGCTTCTTCTAATGTTTTACATGTTCGCCATAAATTGTGAGCTGTGCTGATCGGTTGTCGTCTTACAGCTGAACCAACACAGACGGAAGGATTGTGGGGAGCGGCGTTTTCTTTGCGTCGACTGCGGCGCCAGGTTCCCCGTTCCCTTTCGACTCCGCAAACATCGCATCGCAATGCATCCCGAGAAAGAGGCTGCAGCTGAAGACGTCGACATGTTTCAGTGCTGTAAATGTGGTGTTGTGTTCCAGACGGAAGACGAGCTCCTGCAGCATCAGGAGGAAACCTCTGACTGCGATCTTGAGGAGTCACGTGGCAAAAAGCGGGCCTGTGAGCCTACGCTTTCTTCCGAAGAGGTGGAAGTTGATAAGAAAATCAAGCAAGAAGATGTTGCAAAAGAACACAGTGACTCGAATTCGTCTGCGAAGTGTAAAATTCCCTGTCCTGAAGACGACTGTAATTGGATGTTTGCCACAGTTGAAGCTTTGCGAGCTCACAAAAAAGAACTGCATCGTCCTCGTCCTCTGAAAGCTCCCAGCTCTGAATACCCCTGCCTTACCTGCGGGAAGAGCTTTGCAAGAGAAAGTACTCTAAAGGCTCATCAAAACTCCCATATTAAGACGGAGAAGGCTGTTGAAAAGAGATGATGGAGGAGGAGAAAACTTCCTTCTTTAGTGTCGTATCATCATGTCATTCATGTTGCTTGGTGAAGAATTTCAGCATGATATTTTAGAATAAGTTTATGAAGCAGAATTGTGCATCACATTGCCGATTGTTTCAGGAACGTTATTTATTTTTTCCTTTTAACCAGGGTTCAAACGGGTACTTGAAATCCTTGAAAATTCTTGAATTTCAATTAGGTGCAAGGTAGTGGAATGTATTATAAGCCTGGTGGCCCGCCAGGCTTATAATACATTGGGGGAAACCCTGAGGGGTTTTCAAGGTTTGGAAAGTGCTTCATTTTTGTAAAAAAAAAAAAAAAAAATCCTTAAAAGTGCTTGATATTGTATTCGCACAGTTTTGTAATAAACATTTAGGAGAAAAGACTCCTTAACTGAAAGTCAAGTGATTATTTATGCCGTGTCTGAGCATTTAATTAGAGCAAACCAATGTGTTAAATGTAATGAATATTTATACTCACAATGGCTCAATAATTTAAATAAATTTGGTATTTTATTTGTGTTAAAGTTCTTGAAATTGGGAGATTTATTTTCTTAAATTTTTGTTTTGTTGTCAGACCAATCAGGTGTCTGAGAAAGAATTTTTAAAACATAAAATTTTGTTAGTTTAGTTTATTTAGTCCCTTACATTTAGGATACTATCACAAAACATTCATAACGGTAATAAATGATGCCATATAATAGTGAATTGGAACTGTCTTTAATTCATTTGTATTGTTTTATTGGAAAAGTTTGAAAGCTTATCTTGAAAATGCCTAAAAAGTGCTTGAATTTTATTGTTGGAAAAGTGTACAAACCCTGTTTAACAAAATGCCCTACACTGAAAACCTGCCCTTCTGTGTGTAAATAATCAGGATTTATTTTTTACAAAGCAACAACCTCATAAAAGTCATTGTTCATGTTGCCTTCGTTTTATCCTAAAAGTTTGATATTGATAGTGAAATAGCAAAGTGATTCTTCTTTGCGTTGTGGGAAATACTTTGTAGTTAAGTATTTGATTTTAGCAAAAATGTGCAAACGTGGCATTGGCACTGTATCTCATAACAACCATAATAAAATATGTTTAAAAAAAACAGCTCCATTTATAGAACTCTGCACCAATAAGCGTTTTTTGTCTTTATGTTTCTGCATCAAAGTAATTGGTGTCACTTCAGAGTTTACCTTAATATCAATTAATTCTTTATGATGCAAATTATTTTGTGAAATACACCACTCCTTTTTGAAACTAATAGCATGATACCATGGGTATGGTGCTCTTTGGCTTGTGGGCTTATTTTCTATAAATATGACATAAGACATCAATTTTAGTTTTATCAGATTGCCAGGTCACCACTCCAAAAATTAAGGGCTCTGTCTTCTGATTTGAGCAATTTGAGCTTTCCCAAATTGGTTAAAGGCATATTAATCCTTGTGCATGTGAAGAATTTGGCTAAACTAATATTATTCCTTGCTTGCTTTCACTAAATAAAAATCCAGTCAATGTATTTATAATGAAAAGTTTCATATTGATATGTATTAATGTGGGTGGGACCTGTACCCCGTTCAAGCTTAAATTACTATTATTTTTCTCTGCTATGCCCAAATAAGACATTTTAGACAAATTAAGACCAGTGTTTAAGTGAGCCTGGATGGAAGCATTTCAAAATAATTTAATTTCCACAATGTGGAATTCAATCACAATTAATTCAAAGACTGTGATTATTTTCAATATGTTTAAAAAGCATACCAAACTCTAGCTGTGTCAACAGCAATGCATTCATGCTTAAAATGTTTTATTGTCATGTATGACTTTTGTTTCCATTGTTCATATCACATTTAATTATTTTATTCTTTTACTACTATTCAATTTCTCTGTAGTATCTTAAAAATGACATGAAAAAATACAGGTTTTTATACTGTTTATTTTTTATAGTATTTTATACTTTTATAAAAACCCATAGGGACAAGTGTTGCAAATTAGCTCACTATAATACAGTTTGTCAGTGATTGTGTGTCTGTCTCTATCAGTTAAATTTGATAAATAAATAAATAAATAAATAAATAAATAAATAAATACACAAATAAATTCATGACCTGCAATTAAAAAAACATAAGAAGCTCAAACATATGTTACCATTTTTAGTAGAAGTCAAAGTTTTCAGCCTTTATTTATTCAAATGCTATTTCTATTATTTTAAATTCGTCACACAAGTAAAAACAAAAAAACGAAAACGAAAACAACAACAAAACACCAAAAACAGCTCATTTTAAAAGCGAAGTCGCCCACGTCGTCGAACGTCGAGCAGCTCCGGCGACGTTCGTCTACCCATGATGCACCTATCTCGCGCCTTTGCATCGAGGAGACCCATCTTGCCTCGCGCACCGCTGCAGTGATCCTCTGCCCGCGCGCTGTCTCCGTTGTTGTAGTAAATATAATGGCGGCCTCGGGAGGCGGATTATCGTCTCCTTCCAGTACCGCTGGGCTGAGTTCTCAGGCACCGCCGGCCCGGGCTCGCTTCCCAGGTCGTCCGTTAACGGGTCGCAGCAGGCTGCGCTCGGAAAAACGGACCAGACGCGGAAGATTGGGCTCGGACTACGGAGAGCTGGTCGCAGCCGGGCCGAGGCCCGTCAACACCGGCCTTGCGTTCGGCGAGGATCCGTCCCTGCTGCGGCTGCTGGGGGTGGCTGAGAAGCACGGTCGGCGGAGGGATGTGGGCTTCGACTCCAGCAATAGCGAGGAGGTGAGTCGGCTAGATGAAAAACCGTGCCATTTAAATTCAGAATAAGCACTCCCTGCGATGTTAAAACACAAATTTGTTATGTTTGTTATATAAAGCACAGTTTAGCTTATGTGCAGCTAGCTAGCTACAAACATAACACATAGTAGCATTGTAGCACGAAGCTGTTTGCCTGCAGGGAATGTTTCATATGGGATTACTAGCGATTGTTTTCGTGTGATTATTCTGCATGTATTAATACTCTGCTGTGCGGAACTGGTATAGGAAGTAGCATCTGAGGTATAAATATCCGTCCAGTCGAGTGTTTGCTTTAAAAGCAGATAAGGCGGAAACTTTGGCGGTATGAGCACAGCAGTAAAGGCTTTTTGTTGGTGGCAACCATTCTTTGGCATCCTGTGAATATTGGTTTTTCCACGCGGGTTTGCTAAGAGCTGCTCTCCGGTGATTTTGGTCGTTGTTTAAACGTTTTGTTACTTTCCACGTTGGAGTTTATGTCAGCTGACTGCTCGGTGTTTTTTAACGTCAGCTGAACGTCGGCAGCAGCGGGAGGACAGCAAAGGTTTAATTAACCTTATATAGAGTCTGTGAAGCCAGTCCTACAACACGTTAGGAGCATTTCAGAGTAAATTGAAGGATGTCTGCAGTTGGTTAATGATCAGACAAAGGCTAGGAAGGGTTTCATGTTAATCCTTTTCTGGCATCAAATCGCCTGCAAAGAAAAGTTGATGTTTTCTCAAGAGAATCGTGTTTTGAGTTGCTGTAACAACTTACAATTTGTGTCAAAATAATATCTCTTGAAGATGCTACTTTAATTCATTCTGGTAAAAATGCTAACACGTTTTTTTTCTTTAATTCAAAATTATTTACACCATTCTCTGTAACCTATGGACACTCTTTTGTGTAATTGCTGAGCTGTTTCTTCTACACATTTTTGACCATTTGTCTTTGTATTGGACTACAAATCTTTGAGGCTAGGAGGCCTCCTTGCCATCACCCTAATCATTAGCTCCCTCTACAGATTTTTTTTGTTCTGGATTCAAGCCAGGACTCTGGTTGGGCCTCTGTAAAACATTAATGTTCCAGTCATAAGAAACATGTTAACTAAATAGAAAGATTACCTTAAATGCAAAGCTGCCTAATTGTATATTTACCATAACTTTTAACTTTTTTTTTTGTTTTTTGTTTTTAAGGAGTCTAGTGTTGGGTATATTTTCGTTGATTGTCTCTACACGAACAAATATTGACATATCAGACCTTTTCTCCTTATCTATTGAATAAATCACATCTAGGAACTCCCTAATATGTTCATTGTTTCAATTGATCAAACATCAGTATCATCTACAATTCACTTTCTTAGTTTAATTTAAATTATTTTAAGGTTGGCAATAAATACTTCAACAATACATTCATACAACAGATAAAGAAGCAAAGAGAAAAAAATAAAGGGGGAAAAACAAATAATGAAAGAAAGAAGCAGAAAAGCAAAGCAATGAAATAATTTTATATCTTCATTTTCTGTTGATTTCAAAACGACCACCTTTATCAAATAACCTGCTGGATATTTTGTTTTATTTGTTTTAGTAATCTGAGGGGGGAAATAACCAGAAGGTCAGACCTTTAATGAAACTGGAAAATGTATCGAACAGGAAAAACTTGGTCAGTTTTACAAGAAAATACAAAACAGAAGGTGAGATGACTTCCATCTGTATGGACACATGAATCCTGCAGTCAGATTGGATGCAGTAAATTAATGTCTTTCCTGTCTGACATCAGAAAGACTTTACTGATGCAATCTCTTTGGAGTTGACTGAAATAGTCACATGACTCTCGCTGGTAATGATGCTCATGTGCAGCTCTCCACATCTCCTGATACTGTGCCGTGTTCTTTGTTGCTGGATAATTCAAGAGTTTTTACTTCTGAACACTCTGAAGATTGTTTACATTTGAGATGGATGTAAGTATTATGAATTATCAGCTGCTGAGAAAAGTAATTAAGGAGTCTTTTTGCTAACTGCAGCTGTCTGCAGATAAATATATATCCTTACTAGAACTGTGCATTGCTTCAGAAATAAATTGTGGAAATCTTGCAAACTGAAATTTAAATGTTGCACAGGCAGAAAAAGTGTGAACCATTTAGTTTACTGCTGAGTCACAAATGGGG